CCCAGGAGGAGAGTCACAGCAGTGCTATTGGCACAGGTTAAAAGACTATCCAGATATGATGTCCAGAAGAAAAAATATATATACCTGGACTCTTGATTTATGACCAAAGGGATGTTTCAGGGCAGTTGAGGAGCCAATAAACAGCTCTTCTTCAGTTAGACTTCCGCAAGGGAAGAATAGCATCCTAGCCCTCACATATACTCAGTCAGCTATGTGACGATCCTCACTTCTTCAGTTAGACTTCCACAAGGAAGAATAGCATCCTAGCCCTCACATATACTCAGTCAGCTATGTGACGATCCTCACTTCTTCAGTTAGACTTCCACAAGGAAGAATAGCATCCTAGCCCTCACATTTGCAGTACTCAGTCAGCTATGTGACGATCCTCATGGCTTTAGAATAAGCAAAGATTTCTTAAGCAGATTCAGAAAAATTCAATTAATAAGATGAAAGATAAATTAGGCTATGAAAGTGGAATACCATGGGGCAGGGAGGCCTGATCCTGCCTCAATGACATGATGGGACAGACTGAGTTGACTTCCCAGGAGAGGCCTTACCCTCTCTGAGGAGTGGGTGGGGGAAGGGTGGGGGGAAGTGGAAGAGTGGGGTGAGAGCAGGTAGGGGGAACTAGGATTGGTATTAAAAATTAAAAATTAAATAAATAAAAATTTAAAAAAGAAAATGGAGTACTTCCATCCATCAAAAGATATCATTACAGGGTCAGTTACAGAGTGGGAGAAGTTTCCTGTGTCCTAGGAATAAAGAATTTGTACCTATAAACTATCAAAAACTCATACAGATTAGAAGAACAGCAACCCAAGGAAAAAAATTGGCCAAAGTTTTGAACCTTATAAAAGAAGGTATCTGGGTAGCCGACAAGCCTGAGAAACAGGGTCAACACCATGGTCATCGGGAAATGACAAAGCCTGGAAGATAAACATAGTTATAAGCCAGGATGTGGAACCACCCCAGGTCTGGTACACCTGGACCACCTGCTGGCAGAAGCTGAACCTCAACCACAGTCTCCGGCTCAGGTGTGTGAGCCCCATGACTCATGAATTTACCTCCAAGACACATACACATCCAAAACACAACAAAAACAGTTCCAGAAGTAGTGCTCACAACAGCTCCAAAGAGATTAAAAGGCTATGCAGCACCGCCCATCAATGGAGGCAGATCAGCTCCTGGTACCCCGCGGCCCAACAGAACCTCACAGAACAATGCTGAAACCACACACTGATGAGGACATGAAGTTTCCTTCAAAATGAAGCAAAACAAAGGCCTGTGTGAGAAACGGGAGAAGCTCCAGGCAAGGCTGTGTGGCAAGCCCAAGACACGGGAACATGAGAGCCTAGCGACACTAGTGATGCTACCTGGAGCTGCTTTGTGCTTCTGTATTACCTTGTATTCAATGCTTCATCACAGTTGAGGTTATAAACACAAATCGTGGGACTGGGAAAATGCTCAGTAAGAAAACTGCTTGCTGTACAAGCATGAGAATTTGAGTTCAGATACACAACATCTTCAAAAAAAAAAAAAAGTCACTTTGCAGGCTGAAACCCGCATTTCAACATGAAAAGATGATCAGTGGGTAAAGATGCATGCTGCCAAGCCTGAGTTCCATCCCTGGGACCTGCTACCACAATTATCTTCTGACCTGTATACTGAGGCCATGGCACACCAACCACATACACACATATAATAAAGCAAGCAAAGCACTAGCCAGGTGTGGCAAAAGTTAGTTCTGTAATCCCAGAACTGGGAGACAGAGGCAAGGGGATCCCTGAAGTTCACCAGCCGGTTTAGCCACCTGGTGAGCTCCAGCTGTCATGAGGGAACAAATGAGGTAGAGAGCAGTAGGCACGTCCTCCACACACGCATGCACAGGTGCACACACAGAATACTTCAGCATCCCCATCGGCACACAGGACAGGTCTCTAGGACTCTGGAAGGTGAGTCTCCACGACGTCCACATGCTCAAATGTATTTCCTTGACCCTGGATCATGGTCTAAAAAGGACAGAGGTAAGTTATCAGTATGTAGGGGTAGAAACAACCTCCCTCGAATCTTATGAGGAAGAGCAGACAACAGCCAGCACTATCTCATGCTTCAGGGATAGCAGGGAGAGGCTGCCCATGCCTGGTGTGAGGACACCTTTGCCAGTGGACTCAGTGCCAACCAAGGGACAGCAGGCTGCGATTTAAAGTAGAAACCCCTATTTCAACATGAAATTCCACAATTCTTAAATGTTAGAATCTTAAAAATAAGTGCCTAAGGAACCGAGTCACTAAGCTCAGTCACCCTGTGCCCAACACTGGAAGACCACATTCTTGGTGGTCACACATCCTTCAGTCAGTACTCTAAGGTGGAGCGTCTCTCTCTTCAGAGGGAAATGAGTTTGCTTTGTTTGTGGTGCTGGGGATTGAAACATGTGAGCTCACACGTGTTAGGCAAGCACCCTACCACTGAGCTGATGCCCAGTTGAGGAGGCCCAACTGTACAGAGTTGATACAGCAGCCTCCTGGCTACCATAAACAAGGACAGCATCGAAGATGACTGAAATGCAGACTGCCCTGAACCTGGGCCTCTGATTGCCTCATCTTACGATGAGGAAACATCGGGTCAGAGAGAAGATGTCCCCACAGGCTCCGGCCTGACAAGTCCCTGGGAAGGATGACAGCCCTGCCCAACTTAAGCCACAGATCACAACCCCTATGCTACATTATGGGGTGAGGGGCTCATATCTACCCAATCCTTCTCTCTGGATTTCACGTTCCTCATTCTATCCCAAAGGTCTGCTCCCGAGGCTCTCCAACTTGATCTCAATTGATAAACCACCAGCCCTGCTCCCTTGGGAGGCTTTTAATCACTCCCTGCAAGGGAAGAGGTCTTAATCAGCCAAGGCGGGGCTAGCAGCCAGTGAATGGTTAATTAAGGCAGCCAACAGAGATGACAATGAAACCCTGGCAACCACCCCAGGGCTAAGCCAGTGCTCTGTTCCTGGCTTCTAATTGGCACAGCAGACAACAGCAGAGCCTGTCCCCACTTCCAGGCTACAGAGGGAAGTTAAACTGAGGCAGGTGGGGCTGAGGGCTGAGGCCCTCACAAAGGCCTCGGGGCTTTCCTGGTTACCAGAGTCAAGAAACAAGAGACAATTCTAGTCTGTGAGGCCACAGGAAGAGCTAATCTCCCTGTGAGGCCAGCTAAGAGGTCAGAACTTGTGAAGGATGAGGTGAAGGAGAGGGCGAAAGTTCAGGGAGCTGGGGAGGAAGGGTCACTCCTGAGCAACACAAGTCAGTGTCTCCCATGAGCTGTGGCACAACCTGCAACCACCCTCAGAGACCATGCGTTCCCTGGGTTCTAAGCACTAAAGCTCAGAGAGAGCACCCACAGGATCACAATTGCCCAAATACAGCTTGCCCTCTGCGGCCAGCAGCTGAGGTCACCCACTGGAAGCAATCAAGGGCCCCAGGTAAAGATGGAAACAAAGAAAAAGTGGATTTAGCAAACACAGGGGACTCTGGGAAAATCTTACCAAGCAACCCAAACCCTAGCCCACACCATATGTTGGCTTAGGATGCACCCGAGGAAAGCTTCTGAGACCCCACTATAAATCACTGCCGTCAACTTCTGAGGTGGGCAAGGCACCTTGCAGAAGCTGACTGAAAGACACTGAGGTCTTTGGCTCAAATTTTCTTAGGATTAGCCCCTCCTCACCTTGTTTGGTTTGGGTTTTGTCTGGTTTTTGAGACAAGGTCTCACACAGCCCAGGCTGACCTCAAACTTCTTATCCTTATGCCTTCAACTTCCTAGTGCTGGGATTTTAAGTATGCACCACCATGCCTGGCTCCTTTGCTGGCTTAAAGAAGACCTGGGGGTACTAAAGACAATTATGTGTGAAATTCCACAGGGAAAGGAATTCACCCCAGGCACAGTCTCTCCACCACGGTCTTTTCTGGGAATGAGCTACTCATTAGATAAACAGGAATCAAAGGTTTGTTGAAGAGCTGAGAGAAAATAAAGAAGGCCTAGAACTAGGTGTGGTGGTGCCCCCCTGTAACCCCAGCACAGAGGAGGCTGGGGCAGGAAGATTGAAGGTCAAGGTCAAAGGCTGAAAGTCCCAAGCAGACAGCCACACTTGCTTGGCCAGAGGCCACATCGTACCATGGTATCTGACAAGACTTTGTGGACAAGGTACACAGGAGACCCTGGTCTCAAATAGAGGCATTGGCCAGATTCCCTCAGACACCCCCACCACACACGCCTGCTCTGTGTGAATGGCCAGTGGAAAGAGGACACATTTTTCCTCAGCAGTAATGCTTGCATTAGCATGAGGACAAGGAAGAGTCGGGAACTGGAGGTAGCAGGCAAAAGAAAAGTCCCAAAAACTGCCTTTGAAATATGAAGAATGGAGAGATGCCCAGCCATCTCTGTATGACAATATATTTCCAAGCTCATGGCCAGAGCAGAACATTCACCTGGCAGGCTTCCTCAGCCATTCAGTGGGAGCAGTAAAGGCCTATGTACTTCTGGAAAGTGGAACGAGTTAGCGTGCATCCAGGATCATCAAGGGCCAGAGTCCCCACTAAGCACCAAGTGTTCCCTGTTTTCAGGGACAGTATTTTACAGCACAACTCTGAGCTCTGAGACCTGCGGGGTTTCTGGTGCTGCTGAAGTCATTTAATTACACAATGTTATGCTATCCCCACACATTGAATTCAAACAGATTATTAATTTCCCAAACACTGCTACACCACACTGGTAGAATCAGCACTGTGGCTGTAGACAGCCAGCCCCAGAGGAGATGGTGACTGTTGGCTCTAGGAACCACATACAAAAGATGACTTCATTTAAATTAAGGGGCTAGACAGCCTAGACTGTTTTACCTCTGTTTTTTCACTCTGTGAATTTCTAGGCACACAAGCACAGGCCTAGGCCCACACAAAGAGCCTGCTATGGAAAGACAGACAAGCAGCAAGGCAGAAGTGGGCATCAAGTACCTGTCTCAGTTTTGCTGGCAAAGCCCGCCGCCTGCTTGATGGCTGCTGCTGTGAGCGCTAATCCTCGACTCCTCTTCATGCCATGCTGAAGGACGGCTTCAAACTGGGCACACAGACAGGTCACCCTGCAGGAGAAGCAGGGACTCATCAGTCTACCTGGGAAGTGACAGCAGCAGAGTGGGCTCCAGCACTGAGGTGAGCCGCCAGGTGTGACTCCAGAAGACACCTGGATTTGCCCCTCAGGACTAGTGCTGGAAGAACAGGGGAAAGGGTGCCAACCAGCAGGTGATGCAAAGCCAGTTTAAAAACAAATCAGTCCTGTGGGAACTGCATTCAATTCACAAGTCTCAACTCTTAATTTAGATCACATAGTTTACAAAGCACAAAGCTAGATGACATTTTCAGAGGCTGAATCCAGTAGCCTGCCAAACCAGAAACACTCTACTTTCATGGCCTGTTACTACTTACTGTCATGTGAATTCTTGTTACTTATTATAAGAGATTACATCGTGAATTCTTATCTAGAGGTGACAAAATTTTCAATTAAGTTACAATTGCTGTGCATTTAATTGAATTTCTCAATAACTGAAAAAAAAATGGGAGCTTCTGAGCATGCCCGTGGAGAGATGAAGTCAGGGAAATCACACTGGATTCTCAGGTCCTCCCTAGGTTCTTGGGCCTCTGGTTCTTGGTCCATGCTTTCTGAGCCCTTCCATTCACAGCCAGTGATAACTCCCATGTGCTAGGCCTTGTTCTGGGCTCTGGAAACACAAAAGGTGGGGGAAAAGGTGGGACACAGTGACACACACCTTTAATCCCAGCTCTCAGGAGGCAGAGGCAGTTGGATCTCTGAGTTCAAGGTCAACCTCACCTGTTGTCAGGTCAGACAAGATTACAGAGAGAGAGAGAGAGAGAGAGAGAGAGAGAGAGAGAGAGAGAGAGAGAGAGAGACCTGCCTCAAAACTAGATAGATAAACAGACAGAAAGATAGAGTGATTTAAGAAAAGAAAAGAATCACAACAGAGTAGGAGACACAGAAAGGGCCTTACCCCAAAGCTTCTGCACTGTTCTAACTGAGAAAAGTAAGGCCAGAGACCACACGAAACATTTCAGTGCCTCAGAAATTGAAAGAAATTAGACCAGGGTGGCATGGGGAATGGAAATAGGCACAGCCCAGCCAACATTCTGTGATCGGATGGCAGTAGCCTCAATATGACAAAAAAGGCAGCAAATTAGGCAGAGGGGCCCAGTGCAAAGAACCCCCACCCCAAACACCCCACCACCTGGCTCAACTTTGACTAACTTCAAGGATATCCGCTCCACCCATCACCATATCCGACACAGTCCCGCTCCAGGGGGCTGTCGCTATATGGGTGATGAAACATTTTCACATTTATTACCTCAGTAACTCCCCAACAATGCTAGGAGCCCTGATGGGGTAGGTTCTATTATCTCCAGATCTAACTCCCTGATGGGGTAGGTTCTATTATCTATCTCCAGCTCAATTCCTGGCCTCTCGGATGGTCTTTCCTGAAACACCAGTAGCCAGCATGGCCTGGGCCAGTACATGCTCCCCATGTGCTCCCACACGCTCCCCAATGCTTACAAAGCACGAGTCCCAGGATCCACCCACAATGAGACAACCCTCGTTGTGGAGCAGTTGTCACTCCTAAACATTAGCCATGTGTCTGCCACTCCTCTATGACAAACAGGCATGCAAGTATTTGAGGGCTTCCTAAAAGCTGGGACAGACACAGAATTGTCTGAAATCCACAGAAACCAAAGTTAGAGCAAGACAAGGGTGCTGTCTTAGGAGAAACAACTCTAGACAGGGTTGAGGATTCTTTGTAATTAATGGAGGTCCCTAGCTTAAAAGGAATCTCTGCAAACTCAACCACCCATTTAACAATCCCTGGCAGTTTGCGTGGCTCCAAAGAATAGGTCAGGAACTGCCTGGCCAACCCCAGATAAAACCAGGCCCCTTAGGGGAATGAAAGCAGGCAAGCAGCAAGCCTGTGTTTTGGAGGGTCCAGTTGCATCAGCAGCCCAACCTCCCAAACACACAGAGGTCACAACTACGTTAACAGCAGAAACACCCAGGTTAGTGCCACTCCTATAATGACTTATCACAATGCCAAGTCAGAGACGAGTCCATGTCAACATCCTCTAGGTCCCTGTGAACCTCTCTATTTGACTTAGGCATGTGTCTATTTGTGATCTAGTATTCAACTGTCTACACATCCCTCCAGGAAGGCTTCCTGGGTGCTTTTACCCTGTGTTCCTTTCTAAGGCACTCTTAGTAGTTGGTATTGGAGTTCCATGTTTCTCCTGCTGACTGAGCACTGCCCCCACACTGCAGACAATGTGATCCAAATGGTCCTTCCCCTTGGGGTGGAGAGCACAGGGTTGGGGCTGTATAGTTCAGTGAGAGACGCATCTCAGGGGAGCTCTCATAGCTTGTAACTCAAGTCCCTAGGACCAGGGAGTCAGAGAAGGGACACCTGCACACACAGTCTACCCTTTAGGGGTGTGGGCACATACAGGAGTCTACCCTTTAGGGCTGTGGGCACACACAAGAGTTTATCCTTTAAGGTGTGGGCACACAGAGAGGCTCCCTGCATGGCCAGGTCAGGGAAGGTTTCCACTGTTTCCTGCCCTTGCTTGTACGGTGCTAATTCCTACAAGATCAAAGAAGCACCTGCTTTTGTCCATGTATTTTTCTTAGCTGAATCTGTATTTCCCAGAATTCCCTCTGCCAAAAGTTCTTTAAGTTCACTGTGAAAGGCTGACTGCCTCAATGGCATTGTATCATATCTAACTTACATTCCAAGTTAATGAGTTGGGATGTATTAATGAGTGAGGCTCTTAATTTTTTTAAAAAAGCATCATTCAGTAACACCACCCAGGTTTGCAGGCAAACAGCTGTTCATAGAATGAACCGCTAAATGGAGTACTATTTAACATGCACAAAGCTGAGCTCAATCCACCACACAAGCCAGGAAAGGTGGTTTGTGTCACACTACATGCCATGGAGGATCAGAAACTCAAGGTCAGCTTCAACTACGTAGCCAGCTGAAACCAGCATGGGCTACATGAGACTCTGTCTCAAAGAAATAAACCTGGGCATGGTGGCACAGCCCTTCAAATCCATCACTCGGGAGGCAGAGGCATGCAGATTCGAGTTCAAGGCCAGCCTGGTCTATATAGAGTGTTCCAAGACAGCCAGAACTACACAGAAAAACCTGTCTCAAAACATATAAAAATAAAAATTAAATAAATAAAATAAAGGCTTCTTTGCAGTGTCCTTCCTTACCTTTCCATTTCTGTACTGACTGCCATGACCAAAAGCAATCTGGGGAGGAGTTTACTTCATCACGAAAGGAAGCAGAGGCAAAGGAAGAATGCCGCTTACTGGTTTTCTGTCTGTTTTTCTTAGAGAACCCAGATACGCCTGCCCAGAGGTGGCACACACAGTGGGCTTGGTCCACCCACACTGGTTATTAATCAATAAAATGTCCCGTAGACCTGCCTCCAGGCCAAGTTGAGGGAGGCTATTTCTCAGCTGAGGTTTCCTCTTTCCAAATGGCCCTGGCATGTGTCAGTTAGCAAACGACAATAACAACAAAGGCAGCATACTGCAGATACTCCGGAAACGTCTGACGATGGAATAATGGGGGCAAACGCTCCATTTCTAGGCTGCATCCCCAGCCCTTGAGGGCTTGTGGGAGAGAGTTTGGTTTTTCTTGAGACAAAGACTCATTCTATTATCTGTGTTGGGTTGGAACTCACTTTGTTAGCTTCAAACTCATGGCATTTTCTCTGCCTCAACTCCCAACTGCAGAAGTTACAGACATCAGCCACCATTCTTAGCTTCTGGGGGTGGAGGTGAAGGAGGTAGAGGAGGTGGTGGAGGAGGAGGCAGTGAAGGTGGAAGCAATGGAGGTGGTGGAGGAGGTGATGGTGGAGGAGGTGTTGGTGATGGTTCTAAGAATTAAACCTAAAACCTCAAGCATGCTAGGCAAAAACTCTACCATAGACTGACATCTCAGCCCCACACAGAGACCCTTTTGAGAAAACCAAATGCAACCTCAAAACTGAACAAGACTGACCCTGTTTATAAAGCTCCAATGTTAACTGGGACAGAGTCAATAGCATCCCTAAAATCAACCAATGAAAGCACTGGCTAGCATAGAGGTAAGATGAAGTCTGTCTGTTACCCTTCTCAAACCAAGGCAGGACATGATGACCATTTGAAAAGGGTCATGTCCTACATGTATGAATTAAGTCTGTGAGAGGTTCACACCCTTTGCCCATGAACTTCATTAGCAAACACACACAAACACACACTAGACTACAATCTATATGAGATAAAGATTGAATAATAAAAATGGTGTTATTTACACTACTGAAAAGGTAGTTCTAAATGCTTAGCACTAAAGGAAGCAGCTAAACAAATGGCAGTGTATCTGTTGAGCCTGAAAACATGCACAGGAGCAGCTGAGCATTGGGCAGGTGGGCAGTGAAAAGACAGCAGGGGCTGAGACTAAGTCCACGCCTCACCGTGCCGGGCACTGCACTCCAGCTCTGAGTAGAACTACCCAGCGAAACAATGACTAGCTGGGCTCTTGCCTTCACATTTTCCTGTATTCACTCCTTCTCTGAGGCACTGAAAAAGGCCAGAATACCACTACTCAATCATAAAGATTGAACAAGCTTTGTTTGAAGGCAGAAATGAGGGGGAATAACTAAAACATGTAGGGAGCTTGAGCATTTTGTTTTAATTTTTTTAGATCTCTTATTTTTATGTGTACAGAAGTTTTGCCAGCATGTATGATTGCACCATGCTGGTGCCTGGTGCCACAGATGTCAGCAGAGGAGCGTCAGATAGCCTGGAATTGGAATTAGATGGTTGTGCAGCACCATGTGGGTGTCAGGAACTGAACCCAGATCCTCTGCAAGAACAAGTGCTCTTAACCACTGAGCCATTTCTCCAGCCCCTGTTTTATTTCTTAAGGCTCTTATACCAGTTGTGGCAGCACACACCTTTAATCCCAGTGCTCAGGAGGTAGAGGCAGGCAGATTTCTCTGAGTTCAAGGGCAGCCTGGTCTACATGAAGAGCTCTAG